CTGGAGGAGCACTGGAGGAGTCTAAGAAGCTGTTATGAATATATTATTTGAGCTTGTCCTCAAAGCTACTCAAGTTCAATTTGAATTGTCCAACCTATATGCAGATTTGGGACTGGTTATGTCAGTTGGCAAAATTACTACCATGTAGTTTGAAACAATGCTAGCAGTGCAGTTTCATTTCCTGTTACAACTGAGATAGGCCTGGGATAAGCCTTCTTACCCTAAGAGTAAAATATATTAGCATGCCACCGCTGACGCAAACAACTATGCAATTTGCAAAGCGCTCATGAAATGAAGTATGAAGATTGAAGTAGCAATAATTATTGTAATACAGTTCCTACACGTCCTAATTACTTCTTGACTTATACTTCATTCTAAACATAGCTACTATTCAGGTATTCGTGAGCAACTCTCACCAGTGACTTCTTTCTCTTGCTATTGCTAACCTTCTCCCAAATGGACACCACATCTTGATTTTCTGAGCCAAGATCCTTTCTCATTACTGTACTGAACTCATCTGGTATTAAAGAGCTACTATATCTTATTTTCCTTTCTGCCAATTGTTCCAAAATGTCAAATACTACTGAATATTCAGTTCTCAGCCTTAGTAACCTTGCAACCATATCTCGGTAATGGCCATTATCTCATGCCAATTTCTCTTTACACCACAACGATGGTCCAGTGCTTAGCACTGCTGCCTCACAACGCCAGGGACCCAGGTTTGATTCCACCCTTGGGTGACTGTCCGTATGGAGTTTGCATGTTCTCTCCGTGTCTGTGTGGGTTTCCTACAGGTGGTCCGATTTCCTCCCATATTCCAAAGTTGTGCACGTTAGGTGGATTGGCCATGCTAAATTGTCCCATAGTGTCCAGGGATGTGTAGGTTAAGTGGGATATGCAGGGTTACAGGGATTGGGTGGTTTGCTCTTCAGAGGGTCAGTGTGGATTCAATGGGCGGATAGGCCTGCTTTGACACTGTAGGGATTCTGTGTCAACATCAATACATCTACCTTTAATGCACTTTTGCATAAACAGTCTCTAATTTTGTCCTTTTACCTCAGGATACTATCATATTTCACTATGCCTGACCGTCTCCACACTGTATATCATGAATTAAATATTAGGAGTGATAAAATTTATTGTATCTCAGATTAACAGGCAGAGTCAGAGCAGCACTTTGGCCTTTTTAAATTTATCCTTCAACCTTTATAAATGAATGCAATTTTAACTTGCATGTAACTAAGGACAGAGATTGCAAATAAGGAGCTGGCACAGAGAATACCACATTCCGCGAAATTTAAACGCTTCTTTACAATATAGTAAATCAGCTTTAAATCTGATTCTCCTGGTAGTAGTCCAGGATTGCCTGCAGCAAAAAGGGCTTTGAAAGGATTGGGCAAATTATTTTGAAAGGTCAGCAAGGTGTCTGTAGCTGTTCAAAGTGCTGTAGGCTGAAAAGCTATATTAGTATTTCCAGATGAGTAGCTCACCTCAACATAACTAACAAGGCAATCATTGTGGCTTGAATTAATCCTACAATATGGCATCAACAATCACCTTAGTTTGCTATAAAATGTATACTGGCATTATAATACTTTGCCAATTAAACGGCATCAGGAACGCCAATGCTGGACACAAGACTCTGCCAAATAAGAGAGACGGTTTACTTGAGGGGTTGAAGTTTGGTGTTACAACCATGGGAATGGCCATGCATGAGTAAGAGGCATAGTTGACATGAGGTCAAGGCCAGTATTGTATAAAGTTCGGGTAGGTGCGACTCTCCTTAAAAAGCACGTGGACCATGTGAAAGCTGCAAACTTGCAAACGGTGTGGCAGCAAAACATGGCTGGCTCCCCGACGGCCTTTCTGACTGTTCCTGAACCCATGGGCTCTCCCTTTCCGTCAAGCATCGTAAATACCTCAGAATGTGAAATTGACACCACATCAGCACTTTACCATCTGACGAAGCGAATGCATTTATTCTGAGATGCTTTGGGCGCAAGAGGTGAGCTACTGTGTGTTACGTATTGCCCATATCAGAGGCAGAGTCAGAGGAACCTGACCTGTGCTAAAATGCCCCAGGAGGAGCTACAAAAAAAAAGAGGCCTATGTCTTTGGACTCAGAGATGGGGAGGGATGTTGGGATTCGAATGAGAGGTTCTCATAGAAAAAGAGCTCCCTGATTGGGGCTGTTAGCCTGGTACAATCAGGGAGCCCTGGCTGATAGATAAGAACAGGAGTGTCAGGTTCTGTTCACTCTGAGAGCTGGCTCTGAGGTAACTCGATCAATGTCAAAGACTCTCCACACGTAAATAAATGGTGACGTGGTGACAGGGATATTGGCCTATGAGTTCTCTTACTCAATTTAAGTCTAGTGGGACTCTTTTGCTGTCTCAAGTCCAGATACTGGCAGCAATTACAATGGTTTGTGAGTCAGAGGAAAGCAAAGTACGAACAAAGAAGTTATGACCATAATGCATAAACTCTGACTAAAGAGTATTTGTGGGGGTGCTAAGCTAAACTAATCCCATTTCATAGCATTTTAGAGAGAAATGACAAGTGATTAAATAAACTCCACATCTATTGGCTAACTTGACTTCATAAGCCTGTGGTAATCTGCAGGTCTGAACCATTGATCTGGCTATCTATTACTCATGACTCGCTGATTTGTGACTAACCATTTTCGCACATATAAAATAAATATATGCCTTTTGTGATAATCATTAATGGAAGGTACACATAGATATATCTAGTTTAACAGTTTTTATTATAATTATTTAAACAACTTATACTGATATAGTGCCTTTAATATTACTAAATATCACAGAGCACCTCCCAGGAAAATTATGAGACAAAGTATGATACTTAGTCACACAGGGAGATATTAGGTCAGATGATCAGAACATTGGGTCAAGGATGTAGGCTTGATGGAGATTCTTAACACAGGAAAGCAAATACCAAGACAGAGAGTTGTTAGGATGAGTATTTCAGAGCACGAATTCTCAGCAATCAAAGGCATCAGTACCAATGGTTGACCAATTAAAATGAGCAAGGCACAGGATGCCAGACATTGAAAAGCACAGATATTTTGGACGGTTGTGAGACTGGATAAGTTTTTATAAAAAAAGGCAAGCGTGAGCCTGTGGATGGATTTTTAAACAATGACGTTGGCTTGACGAGCAACCAATGTGTTTAACTAGCATAACGGTGATAGGGGAATGGGACTTGCTGTGATTTAAGACATGTGAGCAGCGGAATTTTGGATGAGCTCAAGTTTATAGAGAGTAGAATGTAGGAGACCAACCAGGGGAATATTAGAATTGTCAAACCTGGAAATGCTAAAGGCATGAATGTGGCCTTTAGTCATGGATGAGCTGAGTTAAGAGCCGGACAATTTACTACAGGTGGAAATGGGAGGCCTTAGTGATAGTATGAGTTTGAGATAAGTAATTTGCTGGGATCAAATGTGAATCCAAGGTTGGGACCAGACTGGCTTAAGCTCAAAGTGTCACCCAGGAGACAAGTGGAGTCAGTAGTGTGAATACAGATTAGGGGATAAAAGCAATGACGGAAACAGTGTTCTCCAGTATTTAATTGGAAGAAATTTCTGCTCATCTAATATTGGATGTCGGACAAGCAGTCTCATAATTATTGAAGTCAGCTGATGGTTTATATTTCCAAATTCATCACGTTCACTTTATATTTTCTACGAAAGGCCTTTGGCACAGCCACAGCAATTCTCAATCCAAGAAAGTAAAACAAAGTGATGCCAGAGCTGAAAGAACAATGTAGCTTTATGGAATGGCCAGTAGGAGGTGTGCAGTACCCAAGAATGTGTAAACCAAGTTTTCCCTTTCCAGTCAATAGCTGTTACTTGATCGTGAATTGTCCCACTATAGGGTACAGCAGAAAATTGTCACAAAGGTTAAAATCAGAGCCTGGAAGTGCAGCACACGATCTGGATACATCCTGAAATTACCCTGCTGCTACACAAGCAGACTGATTGCCTGCTGCTCTTTTCAAAATTCTGTGAAGGAACAAAGACTCGATAATTTAAGACCTTGACTGCAAAATAGGTTATTGGAGCACAGCTCTTTCAACCCACATGTGGAGCTGTAATAAATTAAGATACTCCATAAAATTTTAAATATTCAGAATTGTTTTCAATTTACAAGACTTGAAGCAGTTTTCACTTCTGCCTCTTTTCAGACAACTTGACCACTGAACCTAGTCCCAGGAATGGAAAAACTGAGCCTGAAGTGTAATTGTACACAACTTCCAGCTGGCTGACGGATAGTTTCTCTTGAGTCATATATTTTTCAACAAAAAAGCCTGGAGAATATCAGCAATTAAAGTGGAAAAAATGCACCCTGGGTGGTTTTAGTTTGAACACAGCACTTATAATGACAGTGAATAGGGTAGGAGGAGAGATTCCAATTTCACACCCTTTGTACTGATAGTGCACACAGCTTGATTACGAGCCAAATGTTGACTGATTTTCACTTAAGTATGTAAAGATTCATACTATGGGCATCTACATTTAATAAACAAACACAAATGTGCAGACATACATATACATTAATGCATGTGCATTAATAAATAATTACACATATACTCAACATCTCCTTGCAATTTTTTTATGAGCCCAGCTGATGCTAATACCCAGCAGGTCAGATCCAAAAATGAAACCTGGCTTGACAGACCATGCATTTTACTTTTACAATTTGTTTACCATGGTCCTCAGTGCCTGAACATATTCACAAGAGACTGCCAATACAATTTTAACAGAAGAAATGTAAAGTTTCTTACAAGTAAAAGGGAAAAAGTTCAACTATTTTAGATTACATAAGAACTATTTAAAATGACCTTATTGCAAATATTAGAAATAAAATGTCAATATTTCGGTTATCAAAACAATGCTAGAGATAGTCAAAGTTCAGTGATGAGTTACTTAGTTTCTACTTCAGTTTCTCATTTGGTTGGCATAACTATACTCGGTTTCTTAATGGTAAACTCCTGCATTGACAATATCTTCTTTAGTTAATGTATCATCATGAGATCTTTAAACAAATGTTAACAAGGCTCACTTAATTCTTAACATGGATTCCTTAAATTCTTCTTCGAAAGTCTTTTCTTTTGTGGGCTTTCTCATACAGGCATCAATCCACTCAGAACATCTTTTGTCCAGCCCTGACTGTTTGGGAGACTGCTAAACAGCAAAGTTGCTTTTTCAGGTCTTTCTCATGTGTCATATGGCACATCACACAGCACATAAGACAACAACCCAATTTTTTTCTCTTCTACTCTTCATTTTACAAAACACTGAATGATACACCTCAAAGGTTTTTAAAAGCCTCATTAAAATGCTTGTTAATAAATATCCAGACAATCCACAGACATTCACAGTTATCAGAAATGAAACCATGTCCAAATGACTTATTTTTCAGCTGTATACTTTTTATTCAATGTAAAACAAAACATAACAATAACTTCCAAATGCACTAAACCTTTGCTTGCTAACATATTCAGAGGTACATTCTAGAGTGTGGCATCCAAAACTGAGCACTGATGGCTTGGGAGATGACTGACTGTATCTGAATTGTATGTCATTTCTGGACAGAACAACATCTACTGTAGCCTTTCAGCCGAATTTGTGAGCAGCATGTCCCTTCCACAGGTGGTACATTAGCTTTGGTTGACCAATGTTTTTTTCCTTCTGGCAGGTTCTCTTTTCTACCATCTGGTTGTTAATCTTCTGCTTTTCTATGTCCTTCCTGACAGCTTGGCTCCAGGCACTTCGGTCAGCAGCAAGGACTTCCCATGTTTTCAGACAACTTGAGTTGTGGTCAGTTTGAAGCTTCACTTGCAGAGATCCTTATTGCACAGATGCAGATGGTGTTGTGCTAACAGCAAGCTCACCATAGAAAATGGCACTGGGGCTGTGGCAATCATCTATTTGCCTCAGAAGACCTAGCCAATGTATTCAGCATTGACTCAATAGTGCAAACATATTGTGGATTCCTGCACGTGAGTGTATTCCCATGCTCGGTGCTCTGCATTGCCAGTGGATGCCCATTATGTGTCTGAAGCAGAGGTGGAACAAACTGTTCGACCATTTTTCTTGGCTCACAAAAGTTGGCTACGCATTGATCCTATACAGGAGGGTGCTGAAAACAAAATAGAGTTTTATATTTTTATTTGATTTGCTATTGGTTCACAGTAGACTTCTCAATTTCGACATGATAACTCCTGCCTTGATAATTCTAGTGCTGATTTGGCATTGAAGGAAAGATGGCTGGGAATTGTTGATCCAAGGTATGTGAAGCTGTCAGAAATCTCCAGAATAAAATTGTCGATGTTAATTAAAGGTGAAGCTTCAATATCCTGGCCCATAACTTTGGTCTTCCCGATGCTAATTGCCAGATCTTTCACTATTGCTGGGTCAAAATCCTGGAATTCCCTCCCTAATGGCATTGTGGGTCAACCTGCAGCTGGTGGACTGCAGTGGTTGAAGAAGGCAGCTCACCACCGCCTTCTGAAGGGCAACCAGTGACGGGCAAGAAATGCTGCCCAGCCAGCGATGCCCACATCCCACAAATGAATAAAAAAGAGTTCAGATTCCTCACAAACCCAGGAGAACTGGTTTCCAAATAAATGCTGTCTGAAGGAGATACATATGGGACTCAAAACGTTAATATTGTTTCTCTCTTTGCAGATGCTGCCAGACCTGGGATTTTCTCCAGCACAATCTGTTAATATTTCAGATCTACAAATAATCTTTGATATGGACTACTAGTGCAACGTCATCAGTACACATCAAGTTACAGATCAGGGCAGTTATCTGTAGTCAGTGTTGTACATTAGCGCTGTTGTCCATGTTTTGAACACTTTGACCAGTTTATATATTAAAAAGACTTTACACAAGTGCTCCTGTTGGTGGGATGGACAAAGCTTCACAGACTTCAGTTTACTTGTTTACACTCTCATATTTACTCTTTATTTAGCACTATCCAACCGAGAAAAGTTATTACCTGCAGTAATCCATATATTTGAGCTGGGCCATAGGAATCCACTTCCTCTCCAACATGGATCTCTCTCTCTCTCTCTTTATCTGTCTCCAGGTGGCCGAGAGAATGGCATCCAGTGTGTGTTCTTACCTCCCTCACCCCTGACCTTCTAGAATGTTCTGTGGGATTTGGCCGATGAGATCGTGAACTCGGTTTGAGTCTCCGAAGATCCATCACCGAAGCCAGGCCAGGAGGTGTAAAGTGCACACAAACTCAGGCACTGACTGGACGTCTGATCAACACTTCCCCAATATGCAACCCTCAGGTTGGTTGTAACTGGTTCCCCTTGAACCTTTGTGACCTTTTTGACCTTGGTTTCCACTGTTTTCTGTAGCCTATAACTGCTGTTTAATTTAGCTTGGTCAATTTTCTGTCAGGGCCAATTTCTTCAGCTGTGGGTCAACTTAGAATGTCTGATTTTGGGCCCATGATCACTTAGCCACACCACTATATCGCATTTGCAAATTCACAAGGATCAATTTTCTGTGCTCCCAAGTAGACGAGCATATTGGAATGAAAATTATAGACACAAAATTGTGGTGATCAAGTGCGCAAATACTGAATATGGGCCCATTCAATTATATGTATGTCTCACATTATACGCAAACTAGGTGCAGGAGTGGGCCATTCAGTCCTTTAAGCCTGCTTCACCAGTCAGTGGTGATCCTTTATTTCAATGCCATATTCTCACTTTCACTCTATATCCCTTGATGCCTTATTACTGTTATTATTCTTATTATTACCACTGAAGAAAATGGGAGAAGAAATTGCTTGAGCTCTAGCTATTATAAGCAGTTATCAGGGTTAAATCTAATCTGCTGTGTATTTGTTTAACAGCATAATTCACCTAGATATCTTTCTGTGAATTTTTTTGAAGCTGATATTGCTATTCTTATTTTAACAACACATTTGACTACACTACAACTGACTTCACGGCCCAGACCCTCTGTGTACATTGCAAATGTAAAAGGTCCCACCTTGATTTACCTTCCTCAATTAGCCACGGCTCCTCATTAACTAAATAGGCACAACAACATTACTTTGCCAGCCCCTGGTTGCACGGAGGTGCCTTTCACTTTACATCCCAGTGTCTGGACTTTGTTGTTCATGACAACATTTTTACCCAATGTTTTTATCCATTCTGCATATTGAAAAGGATGTCACAGCATTATGTACCTCAATTGGTGCACAATTGTCTCACAGTTGGTGCAGCAATTTCTGCTCCTAATTATGCAATGTTGTTTATACCTACACATGACACCCCCACACCAACATAACACCCCTCCCCTTACCCCTCATCCCCGAACCAGGAGTAGTAAGCATGTAAGTCACACAATTAATGATCTTGTTCTGTTGGGCATCATATGAATATGACTCATTAAGCATGCTAAATGTTTTTTAATTCAAATTCTCAATTCTTTCAATTTCTCTACAAAGATAACATGCATTACTTTATAACAATGTGAAGAAGAGTCATACTGGACTCAAAACACTAACTCTGTTTCTCTTTCCACAGATGCTGCCAGAGTTGCTGAGTTTCTACAGTACATCTGTCTTCATTTAATTTCTCCAAGATCCACAGTACTTTGTTTTTATTTTACAGGATGTATCACATTTTTGCACATTATGTATTGAACAGTGGCAAGAAAAATGAGAATGCTGAAGGTGGCCAGAGTGCAAATGTGTGTGTAAGGAAATCCTGTGAAGTCTGCATTGGTAGTTAAGGGAAAATTGTTGGTGGGATCCTAAAAGATGCCCAACAGAACAAGATCATTAATTGTGTGACTTACATGCTTACTACTCCTGGTTCGGGGATGAGGGGTATGGGGAGGGGTGTTATGTTGGTGTGGGGGTGTCATGTGTAGGTATAAACAACATTGCATAATTAGGAGCAGAAATTGCTGCACCAACTGTGAGACAATTGTGCACCAATTGAGGTACATAATGCTGTGACATCCTTTTCAATATGCAGAATGGATAAAAACATTGGGTAAAAATGTTGTCATGAACAACAAAGTCCAGACACTGGGATGTAAAGTGAAAGGCACCTCCGTGCAACCAGGGGCTGGCAAAGTAATGTTGTTGTGCCTATTTAGTTAATGAGGAGCCGTGGCTAATTGAGGAAGGTAAATCAACCTTCCACACTGCTGCCCCTTTCAAAGGACTGACTGCTCTCCAGCTTTAGAGATATCGCCAAGAGGGATGGCCAATACTGAGGTTCCTTGTCATACCTGAAGGTGTTTCCATTGTGTAATGCCCTCACCACAGTGGCAAACCATAGAGTTTTCTCACCAAGGCCAAGCACACGCCCAATGAAGAGATGTAAAACTCCTTCAATGGCTGTGTAGGGATGAGAGGATGGTCTTTGTAACAGGTGCCCACCTCTCTGGGCCATGGGGCATCCAGCTCTGATAGCTCACTGGGAAAGCCATTGGGAGACCACCTCCACATAGCTGATAGTGTCCACTAACCGTGGTTGAGAGGTTGCTCTGGAAATTTCAGGACTCTGGGAAAATGTCTCTAATTTGGACCTTTATTTACTCAAACTGGTTACATAACTCTGGGTTGTGGACAGCTGAGCTGCAACTGGTCTCAAGACTGGAAATTTCTCCCACAGCATGTCAGCACCAGGAGATAGGTAGAAATTTATTGTTATTATATTTGTGAAAATACAGTAACATTTATATGAGTCACCACAAAAACAGCACCATTTAATTACATGAATTATGTATTTTAAAAGAGTTAAAATAAATATTATTTTTTGTTCATACCACGGCCTCTTGGTTTCACAAACCGGGTCATTGCCAAAGACAGGGGCCTGTCCAACTGCTGAGGTCCAGGGTGGGTCAGGGTTGGGTCCTCTTGAAACTGTCAAGAACCAGGGGTCTGTCGAAACTGCTGAGGACTGGGGGCCTGTCTAAAACTGCTGCGGACCCGGTGCTGTCCAACCAAAACTGCCAAACCTCAGCCACAGAGAGAAGAAAAGATGAATTTGAGACAAAAGGTGAAATAAAGAAATAATAATAAGAAATAATTTTAAAAAAATTTTTAAAAATGAAGGATGTGGCTGGTAAGCCAAAAGGGATTGTATAGGCCAGGAGCCCAAACACTACCTAATCTGCCGTCTCCACCATCGTGCTGGCAAAATTAGAAACTATCCCAAAGTGGATCCCCAATGTTTTACCAGCTCACACCCTTCCCAGTCCATCATCCTCTAGCTGTTAACATGCCAGCCATTGTCACCAACAATGTTACCTGGTTGGCTCCCTCCTGTTCAGGGATGAAACCAATTTTTTAAAGTTGGGATCAAATGATACTGGAGTCTGTGGCACTAAATTGTACTGCCACACCTTTATATATCTCAACTTGTCTCCAATTTGACTCACTGTAGGTAGAGCAATTTTGCTCCTAGTTACACATTTGCAGTTTCTATCTGTGCAGGAACAAACAGCATGTTTTGATGTTTATGAAAAATGCACAGTCAATTGAGTTGTTCTGCAAGTCTGAGCCACTGTGTATCTAAAAGTAAACCAATTATTTCAGTTTCTATTTTGTTTACTCGTCCATGGGATGTGGGCATTGCTGGCTAGGCAAGCATTTATTACCCACCCCTTTTTATCCAGAGGATAGTTAAGAGTCAATAATTGCTGTTGGTCTGGAGTCACATGTAGACCAAATGAGGTATGGATGGCAGTTTCCTTCCCTAAAGGATATTAGGGAACCAAATGGGTTTTTCTGACAATCAACAATGATTTCATGGTTGTTGTTAGACTCTTTATGTGACTCAGTTGTTCCAACAGTAAAAATAAAAATAGCAGTTTCATAGCTGTATGCAAACCTGTTCTCATAATCTCTTAATTTCTGAATTTATTAGAATATCAAAGATTGGCAGTGTTTACACACAGCAGAGAGTGAACTGCACACTGTCTGCTGCTTTCATGCCTGTAGTATGAAGGAGTTTATGGAGGTTAATGCCAAGAGGGTTACAGTTTGGGTGTATGCATTTTATTATCCTTTTTTCACAGGTCAGTTATGTTAAAGCTCAGTCATGTACCTAACCTTTAGTTGAACTCTGAAAAACGGATGTTATCAGTCAGTATTCAGTTGACTGCTGCTGTATTCTTAGGAGATGTCACTGCTGGAATAGAGATAATGGTCATGCAGGTAAGGTGTATAAGTGAACCAGGAATTCAGTAGATTACATACCTTTGGCATGCTGTGTTCATTCAATGTTTATTGCGATTATACAGCTTTTCCTTGAGGTTTTCTCATTCTTGTTAATGCTGTGTAAGTACAAAGCTGAAAAAAATAATTATTTTTGTTAAGAGCTCTACCTCACTGAGGTGGCTTCATACTAATTGAAATCTAACAGCATGCTCTGAAAACGCTGCTCACAATTTGATAACTGTGGCAAATTCTACCACAACAGCTCAGACAATTCATTACATTCTAAACCAAACAACAATATTCTAAATATTGCAGAAAAAGACATAACTTGTCAAAGTTTTTTTTAACCTTGCACTCATCAGGAGAATTCACAAGGACCACCAATATGAAGGAAACCAACCAACTTTATACCATAAGAGAAGAGAGTTCTGGTTAGTTGGCAAGTCAATTCTGCTTGGTAGAAGAGTTATCATGGGAACTGTAACAGTTAGATGATGACTGGCAGTTAACTACCAAGCTCTTCTTAAATTTTAATCCAGGCAGATTGACTCTGATTGGTCAAGGCATTGCCCAGAGAAATTATATCTTTCAGCTGTAGTAGGAACTGCAGATGCTGGAGAATCTGAGATAACAAGGTGTAGAGTTGGATGAACACAGCAGGCCAAGCAGCATCAGAGGTGCAGGAAAGCTG